GGATATACTCCTGCAGAGAGACATGAGAAGACGCTGACTATGACCTTGTCTGAGCTTGGGGGAATTTCTCAACTTAATTCCCCTGCTGAATGTGAGTGTTGGCTCAGAGTGGCCCCATTATTGATATGTCTAACAAGCCTAGGTCAAAGGTCAGACAGTGGTGAGTGGAAAAGGATGGAGCAAGACTGTTAAAGGTCCTTTAAACACCACCTGCCTTCACGCACACGCACACACAGTGAATCTTGGCTGATTGTTACCAGACGATATTTAAACATATCCCTAGTACCTATGTACCCCTGTTACTCTCCACCACAGAGATGAGAGGGCTTTGCACAGATTCTAGTTCACACAACATGCTGGGAGTGTAATAATAAGGCAGTAACAAACATGTTGACACTTCCAGGACTTTTCCAGCATCATCAGAGCTTATTCTGGCGAGTTATTTCCAAACTGAAACAGTCAATGCATGTTAAATTCCACTTGAGACAACTTTTTTACCATAAAAAAGAAAAACAGCAGCTTCCACCTTCACAAACAATCTCTGAAAAATGTCCTTCAGACTTTTGAAACAACATCTCGCAGGTGGCAGACCTGCAGCTTGTGTCTGTGCTTAGAAGACTGAGAGTTGTGAGAACAGTAAATTGGCCTTGGGGAAATAAAAGTTCTGCTTGCCGCCCCAGCCGAATCGAAAACTACGGCACCTGTTAAAAAACAGCATGGCTCTCTTTCTCTCATCTACCTCTTAATAGCAAACATCACACAAGGAGCTTTTTTAAAAGACAAAAGTCTCTATAGGGCCCTAATCAATCAGTTAAATGATGTCTAGTATGTGGGAAAGTAACATTCAGCATTGATTCATTATCATCATAAGTTTTACTGCATCAATATTTTCAACTTATATTTCATTTCAATATTTACAGTCTGCGCAATAGTAGAATAGATAAGTAACTGTGCATACTTTATTATCAGTACATCATTACCATGTTTATTTTTTCTTGACTATCACAAGAAGACTGGCAGCCTCTGTAGACCTCCATGCTGCAGCTGAGCAAAGTGAGCAAGCGGTAGTGGTAACATCCCTTTTGTGACAGGAAGCAGCAGGGTTTATGGGAAATGTGGTCATAATTTTGAGGAACATTAGCACTATACCACATGTGTGACACAGAGAGGCCAGTTGTCACTACCATGGTTTTATTAGTTTACAGTTGTTTTAACAAACAACAATTCCAATAATAATGGTATGATGATGTCGAGCTAGGGCAAAACAACAAGAAATTATTATTTCATTATTATAAGACTAGATATTCTAATTTTTAATTCTGTCTTTTCAGAGGTCTTGAAGGTGGTGTGATAGTCATCTGATACAATTCTATGTACTTATATGACTGCAACTGCTAAATGAAATATATAATTCATGCCTCTACCTTCCTGGCCATCATATCCACATTAATAATGAGTTTGCCTGTGCTGTTTCTCAGAAATATTGTTTATGCGAACACCATCTGACAACAACCCAAAAATATCATCACATAATCACTATAAGAATGTTGATCAAAATATATTTGGTTGAGGAAAACTGCAAAAGTATAATGTAGATATTTTAAAATGCTGGGTCTTCATGGGACAACCATATGTTCGTGTGGCCACAAATTTAAAATCTACAAGTGCCTTTTAGCACAGTTACAACACTACAAAATTAATGATAGAGTGCTGTACTTCATGACTCCTGAACTGAACTTGTGAACTGAGCCCTCACACGAGGTCCAAATACTTCTTCTATGTATTTGCCTACTTTGATAAATGCAACACGGCCATGTTTTGACTGTTGCACTCGAGACTATTTGAAAATACACTGCTGATACATGTTTTTCGCCTCTATAACTCACACAGCAACACACATAGGGTCACTTTGTTCCAGAGAAGCGAAACCTTCTGAAACATGGAAAACACATTGCAGTCCCACTCCTGAGAGGCCACTGGTTCTCCATGTATAATGACCAAACATATCAGTGACAGATTCAATGGGGTTCAATTGAGGTAGATTTGGCTTCTCTGTTTTAGGTAATCTATCAATGTCTTTTCAAAATGCAAGGCCAAATACTTCATATTGCTCTGGATTTACAGGGAACATGGTGTGCAAATTATCTTATTTAAACTTTTAACTATTTAAAGCACAATATGTAGTATTTTTATCTTAAAAAAACATCTTCAAAAAAATGTTGGTACACTGACTTGTAATAGTGTGAACTGTGTCTCTGTCAATGCCCCTCCGGGCCTGGACCGCCTACTATTGCACTGTGAAAAATCTGTCTTTGGAAGAAGCTAGATGGGCATTGTCAGAAAGGGTGCTCCTATCGATCGGTCTCCGAACGTAATCGGCCGAGGTCGTATTCGTTGTAAAACTGTTTAAAAAACCGTAGCAGTGTTCTCCTGTATTTTCCGTTCTCTCCTGGTATATGCCCATTTAATGTTTCCTTGTAAATCTCCCATATTTTTAACCTTTATAAAATCATATAAAAACCTGCTGGCCGTATTTAAAGTGTTTGCAACTCTCTCCTCTGGTAAAGTCTGTGGCAGTATGCCTATGTAAAAGATGTAGACTGTGCTTCTTGCACAAAGATTTAATAAATGAAAATAACCCACTGAAATAATATTAGGCCTATACTAGTGGTAAACTAGGCTATATGAAATTATAATGAAAATATTAAGTAATATTAAAAATATACTAACAGTATAATATGAAATTGTACTTATAACATACAACATTTAATAACATTGTACTTTTATTTATTTAATGAGATTTTCAAATCTCATTGATGACAGTTATGACTCCTCTCTGTATCCCACTCTGCCTCTCTCTACCCCCTAAAGCCCACAGTACCTGTCTGAGCTCTCCAGAACAAAAAGCTTCTACTTCAGAGTTTATCATTGACTGGTGATGCCTGTGCTCCTTAACCTCCTAAATATTTTGGCTACAGCCTTTTTGATTGCAGTTTTTATAGTTGTAAAGTAAATTTATAAAGATGCTGTTTATTCTGTTTTTGTAGTTCATTTCACAGGAAAGCTATATTTGTTAAGCTATAACATGTTAGAAGTAACCAGGCAAAGGTTTCTATGGTTTGAGTCTCTAAGACAGAGGGGGTGGAATTTGTTGCCCATGTTTCCTGCCAATAAAATAAACAGTGGTCATTTCATGATACTTTATCGTCTATTAATACTTAATACATTGTTTTAGGACTAATTAAATAAATATAAAGTATATTGTATAATGCCACATGATAAATAAATTGCTTCAAATAGACCCAGTGATCGGTGATTAGTGATCGGTATCGGCCAATACTGCTTTCAGCAATCGGTGATCGGGCCAAAAAATCCTGATCAGAGCACCTCTGATTGTCAGTTTGGATATCATGGCAGAGGCTGCAAAGGCCAAGTGACCGAGCAAGGGACAGGGTGGCAAGCTAGCCAACAAAGCTAATCAGCAGCTGACGCAAGAGCACTTACAGTAATGTTACCGATGTCCAAATATGTTATCTAGTAAGTTTGCTAACATTAACTTGAGATTTATAGCTAGCAACAGAGTGACCGAGCAACATTGTGTAACTTATCAACCATAAAATAACAGCTGCTGGGGAGTGGGACCCCAGGCAAGTGGGCAACATAAAAGGGCTCAGCAGCCTCTATGGACATAACGTTAGCTAATGGCAGAGGCAAAGAGACCGAAGAGGACGATGACAGAGGAAGCACAGAAGAGAAAAAGGGAGTGATCAAGCAAGAGGCTCCTGGACAGAGAGAGAGCTTTGTAAAAAAAAAAAGTCTGCAAGACAGACGACAAGCTGGCATTTTTTCTGTTGGACTAGTAAGAAATATTGCTATGGCTTTTGTTGTGCCACTTGCTTGATGTTTGGCTGTGTTAGCAAATGTGTCCACTTGCTAGTTTTTGATCATAAGTAATGTAATCATAACAAATGCATTTGCACAGCTATGTTAATTTAGCAGTGAATTACACTTAGTAGAAATGCCAAATAACACCAAATGTTACATAATGTTGCTTTAAATCCTTTGTAAGTATGACTTTTCACATAGCAAAAAAATAATGTATTCTCTTTGACTGGGTTGTTGGTCAATTCCCAAGTACACAATGATTTTTCCAAGCGCTCTTTGGCTTTCAGGACTAACTTTCTGGGTGGTTCTCTGTTCTGGAATAAAAACGCTGCCCACCCACTGTCTCTTCAAAATGCTAAAGAGGATGGATAGGAAGTATGAGTGTTTCTGTCCGAGTAGGCCACAGAGAAGTAAACTTTTAATAGCATAAGAAATGTTTGTTTAAAATAGAGGTTTAAGTCACACTGTTACGTTTCAATTACTTCCTTTATTTTCTTATGTCTTTGGTTTAGTCTTATAGCCTTAAAGTATTTTCTCTATCAACCAACTAACTTTGGACTTTTCACCCCTGTAAAACCACACAAAGAGTGTTAACTGATCATTTCTAACACTGTCTCTTTAGGCAACTCCCTGGCAAGCGCAGGTTTATGGACAATTCCAAAAACGGCCGCAATTCTAACAGAGAAATCCAGAAAACCCTTATTTTCTCTCTTCTCCAGCAGTTCCTCATTTCCATCTGAGTCAATCACAGTAAGAGATAAGAAATGCAGCCCACCCAAAATGAGGACTCCAGAGATCCCTCTGCGGTCAGGTTGAGTTAACTGTAAAGAGTGAAAATGTCAGTGCTTTGTTTACTAGTCTCTGCTGCTGCACCCCTCTATCCATCCCCACATTCCTCCTTTACAAATTACATTTGTCATTCTGAAAACTGATGGTTTCCATTGGCATGCTTTGAACCTTGTGTGCCAGCACATTTGTTTGTGCACATATGCATGTGGATGATTGTGTATGACCTGCAAAGTCCAGACTATGCTATATGAACAAGGACATGTTTCTTATGGTATGAGCACGCATCAAAAAAGACAGAACCTATATTTGTGTGTGTGATCTCCTACCTGTTATTGTAATATTGCTGTAGATGTTAGACAGCTGCTCTTTCAACAGGACAAGCTGTGTGGTGGCAGCCTTCTCCCTCTGCAGTTCCAGCATTATGTCAGGATGGCTGGCCACTTTGCAGCCCTTCTGTTTGTCCAATGCAATGTCACTGCGCACTATATCTGCAAGCCGCAGATGGAGGAAATTAATGCTATTTTAATATTTCTGGTCAGGGAATATATTTGAACAATATAATACTTATGTTATGCTATTTTCAGCAATAAGTATTAAGAATCACAAAACTTAATTAAAAAAAACACTTGTTTGTTTTACATTTTGATTTGAAAGTAAAGCCTGCACCACCTGTTGAAACCTAAAAGGTTTCATTTCAACACACATTTGTGTCATGTTTGTAACAGATTAAATATATGCAGTTGAAAAGAAACACACCTGATATACCAAGCTATATAATAAAACATCCTAGCTTCCTCCAGTATAGCCCATGGCCTACACTCAGGTGGCATTTAATTAGCACCTTAACTAAAACTAATACTGCCTATCACAAGAGCCCTACAATAAGCCATAGCTTCCTGAAGGTTATACTTTCCATGTTTTGTCTGAAGCTGTTATTCAACTTCATAGTCATTATGGAGACTAGTGTTTTATACTGAGGTGTTTCTAATACAGTGGACACCTCATTTAGTGAGGCTAAATATTTGAAGCATCTCCCTAAAACAGTTTTATCAACTCCTGAACATTTTAACCTTCATGAAAATAGGATTCATTGTAGGACGGTTAGTTTTAGCTAGGTGCCCCTGATAAACTGGAAACTTACCTACTGTATTTTACAAGGAAATTGACGCTGTGTAAAATATATAAACAACGTAACCTCTTCGGTGGTGTGGGGGTGTAGGCCTACTCAGTGCGTCTGATACACAAAACACGGACGGGCGAGGAACAGACGCAACACCTCCCGTAAAAGACATCGAAATAGACTAGGTTACACATTAAGGAAAGGAGAAGAGGGGAAATGTCAGGTCTAATCACCGTCTTCGTAGTTCTTCAGATAGTAGTCTGGTCCTGGGCCCCTGAACTTTGCAAGGTTCTTCTGGTTGTTGAAGTGCAGGAAGTCGGTCCGCTTTCCGCCAAAACGCAGAAAGGCTGGCGATAGGCCGCGCGCCAGGGTCACGAGCCGCTTGGAGCTGCGGACACACAGGACAGAATGACACTCACGTGAGAAATATTAAGTGGCTTGATACAGTGCGCTATTAAAATGTTATCTGCGTCTGTCGCCGCAGTGCATAGTCACGGTCATATTTCGGAGGTGCAGAAACAGCTCGGACAAACGATAAAGCGAGTCGGTCTTCTTTCTTAACTGTTGCAATATTAATTCTGTTCAGTTTTACTTCAGACCTATAGTTCAAATATGTTCAAATGTGAGTCTAAAGCTACAAATGAAGTCATGTCACGTTGCTGTAGCTATTAAAGCATCGTAGGCCTCGCACAAAACTTCTGTCCTGCCCCTCAGCGGGCCCGAGACACAGGCAGCGACTTCAACGTCATCTGCCACCCGGTGAAAAGGGCATCAGGAAGCAGGTTCAGTAGTACAACCTGAGGAACGCAGGGATGAAACAACACACATGATGTTTGGAGGATGAACGGGTTTGCGCTTCAGAGAGATATGAAATTAATATTTTCAGCTGTTACAAACTACTAAAAACGAAGTGCCCTTTACTTACTTTTTGGTGTAAATGAAAACATATAATTAATTATCACTGATAACAAATGTGATATTAATAAAATAATACTATTATCCAGCTTTGTCTACAAACTGAAAAATCACTTAAAAATAAAGGTTTAGCTGTAGGTGTAACCTATTAATCAAGTAAATGTGCGCATGAAGGTTTGATGTTTTGAAAAACGAATAAAAGTAGCCTACATGAAGGACGTTTTATTCTGTAATTGACTGCATTTTTCATTACAGCCTACGTGGCATACGGCTAAAGCTCCACGCAATAAAATGACAGAGGATTCATAAAGTGACTGCCGACAGGCCTGCAGACTAACTGTACACACAGCTCGCTGTTTACAGCCTAATCACCCATTACTCAAATTGAAGCTGATGATGGTAATAATATATTAATTATGAAAAGACTGACCAATAAACAACTAACCAGAACAAGGTTGTAAAGGACGTTATGTGAGAGACACAAAATGTGAATGTGGTGGAAGTGAACATTTAAAATGTTACCATGCATTTATTGTAGAATATTAAAACGGCTTAGCATCGACCTTCTTTTATTATGAGGGGAAGATTTGGGCACACAGTAACGCATGCTCTCCACATTTTTGGTCAGTAAATGGTCTCCAGTTCATGAAATGCACTGTACAAAATGATGTAATAGTTTGCCATATAGATCAAGTTCTGTAGATTAAATTTTAAATACCTGACGATTATACAATGTGATTTAGAAGCTGAACAAAACAATGTGACTGAATAAAATGTCTGATACCAACAATTCCAATCCGGGCATGACAAGCCATTAGTCTTGCCTATGTTGTGAACTAAAAAGTCAATTATAAACATCCATGAAAAGTGTTTTGCTTAGTTTTGAGTTTTAAAATGTCACAATTCATAATCCATGGTCAAAACAGTGTTGCAGGTTACAGGCACATAATGTGCATCTCTGACATTTTGGCTGTTCTGAGAAATGAGGTAAAAAAAAGACAACTGAATGCAAGTCGCTCTGCATATTTGAAAAGTATTGAAACAACATGGAAGCAACAACATGGAAGTGAAATTAGATTTTATTTTTTTGTCGTTTTAAGATATGAAATGATTAAAAACTTGTTACATGGATATTTTGTATTGTAGACGTGACGGGTAAGGGTCACACAATTGTGTCTAATGTCAGTAGACACACTAACAGCAACAATAAGCCCGAAATGGATAGCCTTTGAAATTATCGTTCACTCTCAAAGTTGCCTCATTAAATTATCTGATTTGGACTTTACCAGTCTCGATGAAAATCATTGTGTAATGTGGAGCATTGGACCACTCAGCGCGCTGAGTGAGGAAGAAACGTGCTGGCTCACTCCATGACAATTCAGACAACGTGGCTGCGTGCGTAACGAAAAAGAACCACCAAACATTTTGGAGGTGGACGCCTATACAGATCGATGTTGTTGGTGAGGAGTAAAAGTCTTTGGTACCTCAGAAAGTCCAGCCAGCCGTCCTTGATGATCGAGGGATCCAGCTGCAAAGAAAGGAAATTGTCGTTGAGGACTTTGATCGGACTGCGGGTGTTGACATCCAGGAGAACCAGCGTCCTCTCCATGAAGCCCGGTCGCTTCCCACTGGCTGCAGGTCTCTGGTAAGAGGAGGAAGAAGAAGAGTAGGAGGAAGAGAGCACCGACTGCACCACCAAAGTAGCCAAAGATGCCAGCCACAGGGAGGACCATGGCAATACGCACGGTGGGGATTTGGGCATCTTCTTGGTTTGGAGAGCAGGCAGATCAGTGCGCGTAATGAGGCGTAAAGGTGAGAAGAAGAGGAAGAAGGAAAAAACAACTAAGCAAACTCTTCTGCCGCGAAGTTCGATTGTGGTTCTTTACCTCGGTCTCATCGATCTGGGTCTGTCTTCCTGTCTAGCTGTCTCACCCCCTCTTGCCCCCCGCCCCTCTGAGGATTTTTGGGAGCTGCTCAGAAGAGCGCACGCCCCGAGCCAGCCTTCCCGGTTGTGAGAGCCAGAAGCTGGTAGGAGGAGAGGAGGCAGCACCGCCCCTCTAAGGTTCTCTGAGGTATGAGTACAAACTGCTCAAAAGTCATTTTCTCAGCTCATATGGCTAACAGCAGTTTAAGATGAAGAAGTGGGGACGCATTGTCGTCTGAATATTGAATTTTCTAATTCAATAAACATTGATATTTTTCTTAACTCATGTGTGAAATACAACAACAATCAAAACAGAATTTTGCAGAAAACCAAAGTTGAATCCAGCAATAAGGTGACACCGAAAAAGTGCTTACTTTCAACAAGTAGCTGCTCATATGTAGGCCTACATGTTGTCAGGTCACTATGATGATGAAAAGACATATCTTGACAAAAATGAGTGAGCCATGTTGGCTGACGCACCGACAATTCATGTTGTAAAGATAACAATCTGTAATTTAAAGATAATTACTCAGATGAAGAAAACATGATTAAGAGTAAAATGTATACAATACTAAAAAAAATAACTACATATTGTGTAATTAAAGGCTGCGCGAAGGCCTAACCGGGGATGTAGTTACGGGGTTAACTCAGATTTACCGACTATGCATGCATTATGATGGCATAAACTCAAATCATACACATGGAAAGGGATCACTGACTAAAACCCATTGTTTCCCATTTTCAAAAACTATCGCAATTTTCAGTGTCCAGCCACATTGTAAATTAAATGTCCTAACAGAAAAATGGATGTTGTTTCGCCTACAAGAATCCTCCACAGTCCAAGAGAACAAAAGAAGGCCTGCTTCAAAGCAAGAAAAGCTTGTCAGCAGGATATGTGATGTTCCTGAGTACTGTAGAGGCTTCGATTGTTTTGAGAAACAACTCATTGATTGCACATTTTTAAAAACAATGACATTTGGAGATGGCAACGTGAACAGCTTTGCCCGTTTTCAAAAACGTTCAGAACCAATTCGGCATTTATGTTCCTACACATGCATGGAACTCACCTATAAACGCTTTATGTGACTTTTCTCTCCAGATGTTCTCGGGCCTCTGGTGAGCAAGACACCGAACAAAGTGCAGTCTATTGTGATTTCTCCAAAGTCTCATCAGGCAGTCGGTGTGGCTCTGAGTGGTCGTTTAAGGTCACTGCTGTCTCACAGATGGGCAGCAAACTACATGAGAAGAAAATGTAGAAGACCGGTTTAATCTTTTTATCCCGGCCTACAGCACCTACTCACGAACACATTAAACCGCACAATTATCAAAGGTGTTAACTTTTCAGGTTTTACGCACAGAAGTTCTCATTATACGCATTAAACTAATCCAGCAGGCTAAAAATGGTGCTGTTAAATCTTCAACTAAACTTGAAAAAGCAGCTCCGGGCCACCCCTCAGTGCCAGATACATTTTGAAACAAAGACACAAATAATAAACGGCATATATAGTATCTAATATGTCTGTTATCCAGCAGTGCCTTTTCTTCTTTATCTGTCCTATAATAAGCAGGTTCAGATCAACAGAAAACCAAGCGAATGCTGCTTCATGTTGTCATTTTGGCCCAGCTAGACATCATAGTTAACATGTGGTTTCAATATAAGCCAAGCTATTTAATTTTTATATAGCCTATTTATATTGGCTACGAGTTCTTCAGTTAGCTCTTATATATTAGACTGTGCTATGAGACATCCGGCGTGTCATTTTTGGGGGGATGTTTTTCTAAGAAAAGTAAAAACAAACGAAACATCAGTATAATTGTATATTATTTCAGAAGGGCATTACATGTGCGTCTTCTCGATTATGGTGTGTTTAATTTGGAGCATTTCTATAGACTATTCAATAAGATATTATTAATTAAAAGGTATTTTATGTTGTTTGTTGAGAATTTCGCAGCAGCTTCATAATCGACTGTAATGGAGGAGCTGCTGAAATAAAAGTTTTTAATTGCTTTTGGGCAACAGCACCAAGACGCTCTGCACACATGTAGCTGAACACCAGCAGAATAGTTTAATGAATTACATGGGGGAAAGGGAAAATAAACTAAGTAGTTTTAACCTTGTAAATTTAGGTTCAGGCAAGAATGTATTCCAACAGTCTATTTTGAATAAAATTCTTTGATGTAACGAAAATCTTCTTATTCGTGTGAAACATGTTCAGTGAGGAAACACAATCTACATGGTGGCCTAAATAAACCAGTTCTTCGAACAAGCCAAATAATCCACTTAACTTTATAGGTTAATCAATTGAAGGTGGACTCATACAAACACTTATATAAAATAAAAAGGGGAACACTTGGGCTCAGCTGCTTCTGTTGTGTGTGGTCTTCCTACCGTTTTGTTCAGTAAGCGATTATTATGAGTGTTGATTAAATTGACCAAATAATTATGAAATGATTTGGGTGTATGTTAGGGATACCCATGCAAATGTTTTTACATTATATCATCGAATTTGGGCTCTGTAACAATAACTATCTTTCATTGTGGAATTGTGAATGGGGAAGACCATTAACTGACAAATATTGATCAACTAACAGTAAGAGAGTATTATTATCAATGATTAATTTAAGAGGCTACTTAATTATAGTATGACACCCTAAAAGGGTTTTTTAAAACGTCCTAAAGGAAAATACGTTTAGCCAAACACAGAAACGTTCTGTAGAGCACCATATGTCATGTTCGTTGGGAATTTTACTATTTATTTGGCGTTTCAGTTAAAACAATTAAAACCATCGACATATAATACCTGCCATGACAACCTGTATGTCGACAGAAATAATGCAGATTTAAATTTTTATAAAGAATAGCCTATATTCTCTGGCAAGTTTTTTGTAGATTTTCCAAAAAAATTGTTTAGCCAACAAATTCATCAGAACATAAATTATTGTGTTATCTGAGATCTTAAAATGTACTGGAGTGGTGTTCTCGTACGTTATCGTTTTTCCTTGCAGTGCAGGCAAGATGAAAATAAAGTAGGCTAATCATTATTTCACTGGTGGTCCTCGGAGCCCATGTTGTTTTGCTCTCTTGTGCAAAGTCTTTTTCTTTTCTCCAAATGCTATGGTGTGGATGATGGAGAGCAGAGAGAGTGTTTAAGTGTTTAAGATGTGGCAGGACTCCTCTCACCTTGTAAACCCGACAGGCTGTTGTCATCGAACTCAACTGTATTAGGGCTTCACGGTATTTTCAAGAGCATTTGATAAATCCAGTAAATAATAATAATAATAATAATAATAATAATAATAGAAGAAGAAGAAGAAGAAGAAGAAGAAGAAGAAGAATAAGAATGATAATAATAATAATAACCTATTTTTCTGTTGGGACTTCAATGTGTTATCTTCGGTTTTGGTGACCTTTTACTGAATTAATATTTCCTATTCCCTATCCTAACACTGACATATTGCTATACTTTATGCATCGTAGTCCTATTAATAGGTCGGTCTTTATGATACATGGGATAAAAGTTTTATATGATAGCCCATTTTTAAAGCTGCACGATCAAAATGTGTTCTTCTAAAATGTGTTGAGTGATTGCAAGTCTTTTATTTCTTAAAGATGCGAATTCTGAAAACGAAAGTGTTGATTTTTTTAGACAAAGATGTAAATCCACGCACATTATCCCATGTATTTCTGAGTCTGAAGTCTGCTAGGCTATTTGTAGTCCTTCTCAGAATAGGAAGCACTGAAACGGGTGATAATACTGCCATCTAGTGGGGAAGTCAAAAGTATGCACCTCAGCTGTGTAATGTTGCTGCACACACAAAACCAGGCTCCGTTCCTTAAAACTCGGCTATACATGACCGACATGATGTATGTGGTGAGCCTCTACATAATGCATTTGCATGTGGTTTTTCCCCTGTATTTTAATTTTGGTTTTGATATTAATGGAATATCCGTCTAATATTTAGCTTATTAAGGAGTTTCTATGGTTGTAAGCTTTGTTTGATCCCGTGCATAACACATTAATCATTCATTATCGGGCATTTCCTGTCTTCTATTTTTAGAAAGTGGCAGAAACAGTATAAGACAGGCCTACGTCACGGTTTGTCATGTATATTTAAGGACTCTGGTGCCCCCCTCCTATCTCTCCCTCCCTCTTCCTGAATTTCGCTCTTCTCGCTCTCTCTCTCTCTCTCTCTCTCTCTCACTGTAATATACTCATCATCCTCTTCATGGACATGGCCACCCAGCTGCTCCATCCATCCCATCCGCAGACCACGTGACCCAATTCTCCCACGTCCTTCAGTGGTTCATTCAGCATGATGGCTGCGAATGCTGCGGATGCTCTTTGCTGCATCCTGCATCCGTGCCGGTTCTCTCTCCTCTTTCTCGCCGTCATCCTCTCCTCTCTGCCGGCCCCGACAGCAGCGCTGCTCGGCGTCCGGCCAGAAGACACCCAGAGCGGAGAGCTATCCGTGCAGGATGGGATACTGAGGGCGACAGAGGGGACCCGCTTCATGCTGAGGGTTTACTACTCCGCATCTCCAGCTACAGAACATCCCGACAGCCTGAACACCAGCGGTAGAGCTGAATCCGCTCCTGCCGCTCCGTGGATCGCGTTTATAGAGGAACCAGGTGGGGACAGCGGGGACGCGGAGAGGCGGCTCCGGTCCAGAGGGAATCCTTGCGAAGAGGAGAATGCCCGAAGCTCCGACATCGAGCTGCTGGGCTCTTTCAGATCCACCTCAAGTCAAAACTCAGTTTTGGTGGAGCTGCTCGCTAAAGACCTGCGCAGAGGCGAGGTGATCAAATACTACTCCATGTGCGCGTTTGATGGAGTGAAATGGGAGCATTTCAGCACCAAGGACTTCTGGTTGGCAGTGGTGGAGAGACCTCCAGAGGCAGATGTTTGGCTCCAGGCGGGTGTCTCGGTGCTCTTGTTAGGGCTCTCTGCACTCTGCAGCGGTCTGAACATCAGCATGCTGGCTCTGGACCCAGTGGAGCTGCGGGTCCTGCAGAACAGTGGCACAGAGAAGGAGCAGAAATACGCACGCAAAATAGAGTCAGTGCGTAAACATGGAAACTACATCCTTTGCACCGTGGTGCTGGGCAACGTACTTACCAATACATGCTTTGTGGTGTGGATGTGCCAGATTTTAGGAATGACTGCTCTCTCAACTGCCTCGTGCACTTTAGGGATATTCTTTATTGGCGAGATTTTACCTCACTCCGTAGCATCCAGGCACAGTCTCGCCATCGCTTCCAAGACCCTCTGCGCGACCCGCCTGCTGATGCTGGTGTTTTTTCCCATCGCCTATCCGGTCTCCAAGATTCTGGACATTATGCTGCACCAAGAGATCAGCAACTTTTACACCAGGGAGAAGTTGGTGGCCATGCTGCGTGTAACAGACCCGTACCACGACCTGGTCAAAGAGGAGCTCAACATTATTCAGGGAGCCCTGGAACTGAGGACCAAGACCGTAGAGGACGTGCTGACCCCGCTGTCAGACTGCTACATGCTCTCCTCGGACGCAGTGCTGGACTTCTGCACCATGTCTGACGTGATGCAGAGCGGTTTCACCCGGATCCCGGTCTACGAGAACGAGAGGTCCAACATTGTGGACATTCTGTTTGTCAAAGACTTAGCCTTCGTGGATCCCGACGATTGCACTCCTCTGAAAACAATTACTCAGTTTTACAAGCATCCCATGCACTGCGTGTTCAGTGACACCAAGCTGGATGTGATGCTGGAGGAATTTAAGAGAGGTAACACCACTTTAAATCATATCACAGGTCGGCTCTCAGAAATACTGGTGTCCTTTGTTTTTACATGTCAAGAACTTAAAAGTAACTTATGGGTAAGAAGTCAGTGTTGAGTTTGTGAGGCACCATATGAATGTTTTGGAACAGTCTCCTCCTGCCACCTAGGAGCTAAATGTTCTTTGAAGTGACTGTGCACTTTAAACCTCTGTTTTCAGTGCAGAAGTCAATGTATACATCAGTCCATTGGCTCACAGTGGGCATGCCAGTAAAGCCCTTTGATCCACAGAGCAGTGAGAGCCATATGTGAAATCTGATGCAGTGTCACATGGTGAGTGTGGTTCAGCCAGGGGTTAGAGGCTACCAAGGACCAGAATGGGGTTATATTAAGAATTTAACTCATTTTCCCATGACAACAACACCGTGAACTTTATCTGACCCCATCACCCCCTGCTTGTTTCTCCTCTTTATGTTATATCAAGTGTATCCGTTATCAGATCTACACTTTAATGTAACGTTGAACTGTGTCAAAAAGGAATTTAGCACGAGTAGAGGCCTTCACTGCAATGGCCTCAGAGGCGATGAATATCATCGACTCTCTCTGACTCACAAGTCTTTTGTCTGACAAGCATCTTTGCTGATAAGTGCCTTCACGGTATTACAGCACTCCGTCTCGTGTGTGCAGTGATAGCATCTCTTCACTGCCGAGTAAAAGTGTGGTGCCTCTCTCCGGGGGCCCCATTCAGTCTTGATGATAACACTGAATATGATTCTGAATCAGTGCTCTGCACAGCTCAATCTGCTCCCCAGACAGTGTCACAGGGTAAAACTGAGACTTATTGGAAGCTACTGGGATGACTGTTATATAAGGATTTCATCGACAATGGCTTATGTTGTGGGGAATTAGATGTAAATCTGTTTCATTGACAAAGAGAACTCAGTTTTCCAATCAGAATGTGAAAATGGACACGGTGGAGACTTTGGCAGGATCATAAATTAGATTGCCACTTACAAGTCAGGAGGTCTGCTTTTTTATTTTGTTCAGGATTATGAAGGATAGCTCTGGTCTGACACAAGTGATCCATAGGTTCAGGTTTGTCTGGGTTTCCAGATTGTGTGTTGTTTATAAATACGTTTGGGTGAAAAGGTGAAGTCGGGCTTCACCTTTAGATTATTTGTGTGCACCTAATTGTCAGCCCGCTGCGACTTTGAAGCTTCTTCCACTCTGCAGGTCGTTGCCATCCAAGCCTGCAGAGCAACCATAAAAAATTCAGCTTCAACCTTTACTTTCCTCTCTCACCTCCTTCCTACTTTGCTCTTATGGATTAAAGGCTCCTGCTGTCCTGCGGTTCAGGAAACCTGGCTGGAAGCTGTGAGGATGTTTCGCTGAGATGCTGAGGGGTGAGGTCACTGTGGCCACAGGAAAGGTCACCAGTAATTTAAGAAATTTAAGGGAGGACTACAAACATACTGTACAGTGGAAAATACATAAATAAAATAATTTATTACCTTCTATATGGCAAGCTAGGCTCTTTATGCACTTGTGCTTTCATGGCATAAAAGGTTAATGAGCAACACAAAATGTGCTATAAATCAAAAGATTTATTTATTTATTTATTGGGGTGAGATATTCTGTCAGTGGTGGAAGAAATATTTAGGTAATTTCAAAAGTAAAATGGCAATTCCACATTACAAAAACACTCCATTACAAGTAAAAGTAATTCTAAATGTAAGTGAGCAAAATGTACCAAAACAGTAACACAGTTATGCAGAGTTTCCCATGTCAGTTTTATATTGGATCACAATGATTAATGGTACTGTTGTAGGTGTTCCAGGTGGAGCTCATTTTAACTGCTTTAGACAGTGTTGGATAGCTTAGTCCGTGACAAGATGCTTCAACTGATCATATGTTTTGTAAAATCTTAATCTGAACAGTAACTAGTAACTATGTTAATCCTTTACATTTCTTTCTAAAATGCAATGGAGACTAACTAAAAAGTAGTACCAATTATAAAAAGTACTAAATATTTGAGTATTTAGATTTGTGTGTAAAACTATTATTAAAAAACATTGTTGCAGATATATAAACAATACATTATTTCCTTCTATAGTACTCTTTGGCTATAATGTTTGCAGAAAACACAGATAGACAAAAGAAAAAAACACATAATGCACAATCATATGCAAACACGTTATGCATGATGATGAACAGAGTTAAGACATGGAGTGGAGGAGCCTGGGAAACAGGCAGAGTAGAAACATTTGCAAAAGAGACATCCATGGTATACCCAGTTTCGCCCCGGGCATGTGCGTCTGCGAGTCTGGTAAGAGTGTGTGTATGTGTGTGTGTTTGTGTGTCATTCTGCAAGAGTATTATGTAACATAACAATGATGTAATGCGGTGCCTGGGCACATCAGCAGCTGATGGCAAATCCACCTCTGACTCACCTGAGCGCTTCAGACAGGCAACCTTGCCATCTCAGCCAATCTCACACAGCCAGAGTCTAATGTTTGGAGATAGCTGCCTGTCGGTCAGTCAGGATTTTTGTTCTTGTTGCAGTGGATTAAAGCATTTGATCCATTTTATCCCTGGGCAGTGATCCCCTAAATCGGCCCATCTCATATGAGCCACTGTTTTTGTTTCGTAGTAAGGTCGGAGACAGTTTATGTGCTTCTGTTGAAATCTGTGTTCTAGTGACATCATGAATTTGGTTAGATAACTTATTTGGTCAGCAAACTGACTTACACCCTGACGTAAGAAGAAACATGTCAGGGACGACATGATGACAAATTATTTTCTAAATACATGTATTTTTGGTGGTGTTAAAATGAAAAAAAAAAATCTATGAATAACATCTAGTATGTGCTTATAGTGTGGTCGAGTTTCGTGGCCATTCTAACTTCTTGTCACATTCGCTTTATTGACTTGCCCCAGAGATGCTGTTGGCGAGCTGTGTCATTGGACTTACTGAGTGGGAGCGCTGGGTCTGCTCATGGATATGTAAAGTGTGTGTGTTTTTATGTACGTGTGTTTTCAGAGGTGGCAGCAGCATGGGCAGTTTAGTCAGCAGATGCAGGCATCCCCAGACTGATTGCATAATCTCAGTGTTTACGTAAGGGCCAAACTCTCCCAAACTGTCAAAGTGTCTCCAGACTAATCCCCAAATGCCCACTTTCTTCTTGTCTGAGTCACACACACACACACACACACACACAAGGGCAGTCCTGACATTGAAATAGTTTTATATTCCAGCTCTAAGATAGATCTCTCCTGTGTTACGGTCTCTCAGCTCCAGTTGGTGTATTTATGCTGATTTTCATCTTGACTGCACAGATCCAGTTGGAGGCTGTTGCTATTTTTATCCAGTGACGTCGCGTCTCAACCTGTTTAATGAGCAGACTTCAGCATAAACTCACATTTTGAAAACGTTTGAACTCATCCTTTTTTTTTTTCTGATGAGTGCAGGTAAGTCTCACCTGGCTGTGGTGCAGAGGGTGAACAGTGAAGGTGAGGGAGACCCCTTCTATGAAGTGATGGGCATCGTCACCCTGGAGGATGTCATAGAAGAGATCATCAAGTCTGAGATTGTGGATGAGACAGACCTGTATAGTACGTATGAAGCATAAACACACTGATTCGTAGCTTTTTCAAAGTCACTGTTACATTAGCTATGAATCAATTTTATTATATTTTCACCTCCCACACCAAATAGATTTGCTCTCAATTTGTCACAACAGCTGACAGAGTTTCTTCAGCTCTGTGCTCCACAGCAGCACTGAAGAATTGAACCGCATAGCATACAGAAATATTTAGGGATGCTACAAGTAGCATTTTTGCATTAATAGTAAATTGAAATTTCCTGTCTTCCACCATATGCTCTCCTAGTTTTTCTTTAAACTATTGATCCCACCTTCTCTCCCCTGTTGTTCCCAGCTCTTTACTGACGCATAATTAAATAAAGTGAATAAATGGCCCAGTCACACAGATAATCGCCATAATCCGCTCATCTTTAATTGGCTGCAAATGCTCTCCACAGAGAGGAATTCAAATGTCAATTCCCCTTCATTTCATATCTAATCTGGTCTGTACTTTTCACTCATTGAATTTGACTATTTGCATGCCAGAATTAGGGAAAACTAACTTCATTATACACTTCCACAAAAATGCCTGCTCCCAGAAGAAATTAACATAAAAATGTAAAGTGTGCTTCAGCTTTAATTACACGCAGAGTGTATGAAGCCGTCTGGGTCATGGGTGAACTTGTGTGGGTGTTCATAAACTCTGTTTTTGTGTGTGTGTATCTGCGTGTATGCAATTATGTGTGTATATATAGCGCAGGGGAGCTAATCTCTCCCTGAATTAGCACTTCAGGCATTTATAGTGCCAGCTGTTCCTGCTGCAGCTACAATGTATTTAATGGAATATAATATATTTAATACTCTTCCCATCTGCAGAAGATAAGTCAATGTATCAATCAGAGGTGTGTTTACACAGCACTGTACAATCTCAAGCTATCTACAGCTGTGATGTAAGAGAAATCACATCTACAAATCTGTCTGTAGTGTTTGTTAGTATGCAGCATACAAAGCTGCATCAACTAATGAGGTCAGTGGCACCTCAAAGTATTTGCTTATTCCTTGTGGTGCAAACAAGAATACTGTAATTATATATAAACCTAACCAATGCAAGAGTAATACCTTTCCTTCCCTCAGTTATTATCAGAGCTGATATAAAATGTGAACTCTCACTGAACACTGTGCATGATTTGCACTCTGTGTGTTTATAGCTGACAATCGGAACAAAAGGAGAGTATCCAACCATGAGAGGAAACAGCAGGATTTCTCTATCTTCAAACTGGCAGAAAATGAGCTGAAGGTGAAGATCTCGCCACAGTTGCTGCTCGCAACACACCGCTTCTTGGCTACAGGTAGCATTGTACTGTGTGTGTGTGTGTATGCATGTACTTTGTCAGTGCACACAGTGGATTGCATGATAAAACATGTGACAGGGAACAAGGCGTTCTCTCCTTGACTCTTGTTTTGGTGTGTTCTTGTGTGTGTGTGCCCATATGCATCAATCTTGTAGAGGTGGAGCCTTTCAGGTTGTGTCACCTGTCAGAGAAGATCTTGCTGCGTCTCATCAAGCATCCCAGCATTGTGCAGGAACTCAAGTTCAACCCCAAGAACAAACACGCTCCTCAACACTACCTCTTCCAGAGGAACAAACCTGTCGACTACTTTGTCCTCATTCTGCAGGTATATCACAAACGCCACCTCTGCTTTTTAAGCCAGATACTTATTTTGCTTTTTTAATTATGAAACCAAGCAATAGTCACTTCTGTGCTTGATAATGTTATAATTACAGTCTTTTTCCCCCTGCATATTTTCTGTTTGGGAGGCTCCATTAGATAAGAGTAATCAATTCATTGTGTTTGTCACACCATGAGCACAATTCATGTAAATGGCTGTGTTGACTTGCAGGGACGGGTGGAAGTAGAGATAGGAAAGGAGGCTCTCCGCTTTGAAAATGGAGCGTTTTCCTATTATGGAATGCCAGCACTCATCCCGCCCCTGCCCACCGGTAAGTAAGCATACACATGAAGCAATATACATCACGACGAGGGTCATGGTGCTGATGATGATGAAGACAGGGAGAGTTCAGCAATAATAATAACTTTGCAGTGTCTTTATGGCGTCAGCCGGCACAAGCAGCAGTCGCAGCAGCTGTGGGAAGTAAGTAATTAAAAGAAGTGATTTCAGAGAATTTCCCAGTGGAAGGACATGACCTGCACAGGATTATATGAAATCCAGCTAAGACTGCAGAGCAAGCAGAAAGCCTCTCTCTCTCTGTGTGGAGGCTGTGTGCACGTTTTGCATGTGTGATGTTCAGGGTGAGCTTAAAGCAATTTGGAAGACTCTGTTAAGTATTTGAAAATCCTTTCTTAGGACATTAAAGAATCCAGAATATTTCTCTTAAGCGGCTGCATGAGTATCACATCTCAAAAGAGCTGTTTTTTAACCGTTAAAAACAATGACTTATCATTGCTCTCTAATGTACCTCACAAGAACAGCATTTGTTGCCACTCACAGTTGCTGCCGCGTAAAACATGAAAACATAAAACATCTTTAAAGATTTGCCACCATACAGAATGAAATTCACAGCTATAGTTAACAGTGTAAGGAGTAACTGTTACAATATGACATTTTTTCTTTGACAGTAGCTCAGGGTGGCCAGTAGTGGTGACTGACACTTTACAAACCCTTGACTATGTAACAACACATTTCTCAGTGGAAACATGTTTATGCTCATTATATGAGCTAAAAATACTTTCTAATTCTGAGAACACACATACTACTACTATTGCTGTAAAACTAATGTTAGCATGGATGGGCAAAAATACATCAAAGTGTTTTTTAAAATATGATACCAAATGTAAATAATAATTTTAAGTTCATCAAAATAAAGTGAAAAATACAGCAGCCACGTAGAGAATACAGAACACTCAAGTATTTTGATAGAAAATATAAAGCCATTTTCATCAACCCTATGAAATACAAATGACAAAATCCTATTTTCAAATACAGATTTTAAGTACATGTATCATAAATACTGCCCATCCCAGACTTTTAGTTACAGCACAGTTCCATCAAAATGAATGAAGCATGATATACTGGAAGACAGTTGGGAGACTTGTTTTTTTGAGAGACTTGTATTGAACCACAATAAGGCTGCTTTCCAGAATTACAGAAAATGAGACAGTTAGGGGACAACGGATTTAATCAAGGGAAAAAAAGCTGCAGTGCCTGTAACAATAGTCAAAGTCCAGCAAGTACAAATGAGTTTGCATTAGAGCACACTGCTGTAGTCGAAAATGTCTGAACATAGAAACTGAACGTATGATTAAAGAGCATGTAGTGCTGATGTATACATGAAACACAACTAAAATTATGTTGTCTCCTTCGGTTCTGTTCAGGTCAGAGGTATTGTTCCCGGGCCAGTGGTCTAAACCAATCAGATTCATTACTGAGTGGAGGCAGTGTGGGTCAGCTCATTACAGGAGGAGGGGTCTACTTACCAGACTACTCAGTCCGGCAGCTCACAGACCTGCAGATCATCAAGGTTACAAATATAAATGGCTGCACACACAACACAGAGACGTAGGAAAAAAACATGAACCACCGTTATCCATCCATCCATCCATCCATCCATCCATCCATCCATCGTCAACCGCTTGCAGGGCCATCGTTATTATAAACTCAATTAAATGTATAATTTCCTGCACACTGAAGTTAAAAAAATAAAATAATGGAGCACAAGCAAGCGACTGCACTTTCAGTTCCCTCCATTTAATCTTCAAAAATTCCCGAAAATGCAAACTCTTCCTCTGCTGCAGAGTTTGCCTTTGATATGTCCTAATCCCCGTTTCTGACAGAACACAGACATCCTGTCTCTCGCTCTCCCCTCCACACACTTTCTCTTTCCTTTAATCACTTGGTATAATTGAGCTCCATTTCAACGATGAATATTTAATCCCTAAATGATGGATGTGCCCTCTCACTTCACCCCCCCCCCCCCCCCCCCCTTTTCTGAAGTATAGTCCATGTCCACATGCAGTCCAGGGGTTAGATAAAGGGAGGTCATAAAGGCATGCACACACAGCTCTAATGCTGATGATCATACTTGTTTAATATGTCCGCACAGATCACCAGAAACCACTACCAGAATGCCCTAACGGCCACCAGGATGGACAGCTCCCCTCAGACACCTGACCCAGTGGATCCCGGTGCTAAAGGGAGGACACCGGTCCCTGAGGCCCGCTCACACAGCATCGCCCTCCCCCTCACACACACACACACTCGACTGGGGCTGGCACGCCTTGCACATCTTCATCCCCACGGTGGCCTTCACAACACCTCCCAGCTCAATGAAAGAAACCGTATCGTTCGTAAGTTGTGTAGATGCTTTGTAACAAATTGTGTTTTATAATAATTAATATGGTGGGTTACTTTAAGCGCTAAAATAATTGATCAATTAGTCCATCAGAAATTCATCTACTACATAGTCAGTTGAGTTTTCGATATATGATATATTATGTATGAAGACATCACCATGAGCTCTCGGGAAACTGTGAGGGGCAATGGGAACTATTTTATTACATTTTACAGCCTCAACGATTAATTGGACAGATGTGTGTCCCTGGACAGCGGTTAACTGACGAAATTATTTCCTCTGTGTGGATTTCAGTGCAGAGGATTTGACTTCCCAAGGTCTAAATGCTGTTTCTGAGGTTGTTTGACACAAGAAAAAAAATCCTGAAGAAAAACTGTGAAAATATTTTGGAATGCTTTTGGTTCAACTTCAATCTAGCATGAAGGTTTAATTTGGACTTCCTAGGTCCTCCTCAACCTGTGGGAGGAAAATCTTCTTGTAGCTGACATCTCCATCTTCTCACATCACCATAATCCTTGCTCAGTGATACCATCTCTCCTCTATTCCCTCTTAAATGATAATAACAAAAGTAGATTTCCTCCATTAACCATTCAATCAGGCATGAAGATTGTTAAGAGCACTACTACACTGCTCACTTTTAGTTACATGTAAACTCTGACGATTCTGCTTTTGCACTCACTGTGAGTCTGTATGGACAATTTGAATGATTAACTGGCTCAATATGATTATATGACAATACATGATTAATGTCACTATTTGATGCTCTTACTGATCAGGGGCAACCTAATAGTTGATGGCCAAATGACTGGCATGTCCGATGATAATAGATTATGTAAAAAGCCCCAGAGGCATTCATACCAACCCCATGAACAACAGAATAAAAATAAAATTGAGAAATTAAATGAAAATGAGGTTCAACAGTTAACAGGACTACATAGATGATAATGTTGCTATAAAAAGATTAGTTCTACTGAACATTATGCTATTCTACCTGTTTGTGTGCATGTCTGTTTGTGTGCATGTCTGTTTGTTGGTAGTTAGAGGGGGCACAGAAAGCAAAAACTTGGAACAAATATTTACATTTATCTGACGCTTTTATCCAAAGCGGCTTACAATTGCTATACATGTCAGAGGTCGCACGCCTCTGGACTAGGGGTGTCTTAAGTGTCTTGCTCATGGTAGATGTCTCACAGTGGGAATCGAACCCAGGTCTCCCACACCAAAGGCAAGCATCTTATCTATGCACCATCAACACACCACATAATAGCAAGTTTAGTCATTCTACACTATATTTACAATGAAGTCAAACACACATATCGATGACCCAGGCCAACGACCCCACTGAGGTTAAATAGCTGAGTTTCCCTGCCAGTCAGTCAGAACTGAAGAAGTCCTTTGGATAAGGGACGAAACGTCTTCCAGTATCTTCAACCAAGTCCAGTTGCCCTTGATTTTAACCTTTGTTGGATAACTATGACCTGGATGACTGAGAATCTTCATAGACATCAAACACACATAGTGACTCACTACAGTGCACACGTTGCACCAGCCAATCTGTACTGGTTTCAAGGCTTAAAGGATTTCCCACATACCATCTGTCTTACGCTAACACGCCACCCAGTTTGTGTGTGTTTGCGCCAGTGTCATTAGGAAAAATCACAGATGGTTCTGTTGGTTGTCAATAAAAGACAAGCATCCAGACATATACCACCAGGTGTTCTGTTCAATCCCAACACCACAGATTCCCCTCCACTGGTTGTAGCCCATCTTTAGTTGGAATTTAAACTTTGTACTTTTAACCCTCAATTGGTCACCATTTGTAACTTACTTGACCCTAAAAAAGCAGACTGATAAATAGCAAGTTCTCTACCTCCCTCTACAGGCAGAGCTACAAACCAGCTGCTGTTTCATGACTACTTGCAGTTGTTTTAGCACTGATTGATCTAATTCTCTCTTCCCAGGCAGTAAATCTGATGGGCAGAGGAGTCCAAACGATACTGTGTTCCTCCGCATGGATGAGATTCCCTACATCCATGAGGACCGACCGGATACTTATGGAGAGAACGGTGAGTGCTGCTCCATGAACCCTTACTGGAGAAAACAAGCTAAAGAATCTTAGATTTGTTAAAACTTAAAACCTGTAATTCCGTCCTGCTTCATTTTTTGCTTGTCCTTTATTTATTTAGTTTTTGTTTATTTCATAAGATTTTAATCTTTAATACTATAATAATGGGCTACTACAACTGTATAGACAACCAGTTTCCTATGATATAATATACATAATAATAAATTGTGGGAATAAAATTGCAAAAAAAAAAATGGTAAATGGTAAAAATAAATAAGATTTGAATAATTATCACACAAGGGCTTTTATTTAAAGCAAGACTATGCAACTTTTGAAACAACAAATAACTTCCTCTTATAACACAACACACCCTTTCTCAACTCTCTCAGGAGTTTTGCTGCTACAGTTTTATTTGGTGTGGTATGACCAGTAGCTTATAGTGTGATTGTTAGCTAATATTAGCAAACTTCAGATAAATATTTGCATGTATTTTAATTTTATTATTTTATTTATAATTATTTTTATTTAACCTTTATTTAACCAGGTTTGTCCCACTGAGATCGTAGATTTCTTTTACAATGGAGACGTGGCCCAGAACAGCAGCAACACAAAGTTTCAACAATAAAGTAACAAAAAATCACATACATGTAGAACTGGGTAACATTAAAATGATCTGATAAAACATTTGCTAATAGACAACCTGGACTAGATTTCACCATTTTACAAATTGTTCAGCATACTAAGTTTAAGATCAGTTTCACATTAGACTCGTACTACTGAGTCAGATTGCTTGGGTGAAGACTGAAGACTTTTTCTTTCTTATGATCACATTCTACTCACAGTCAGCTGCCTAATAATGATGTCTTTAAAGCAACAGACTCAAGACAGTCTTAGAGAATGATCGAAAATTTAAGGTTCCATTAATGTGTAGCTACAGAGGCCACTCTTCATCAAAAGTTATGTAGTCTCAGTTAGAAAAGTGGTGTTTTTTCAAAACTGTCACCTGCATGCCATTTTATCACTATTTGCTGCACCACACCATCTAACTCTCTCGTCTCTTCCTCTTTCAGATGTGCCTACAGAGTCTCAGCCATCCACCTCTCCCTTCATCAGCTCTCTGTCATTGTCCAGCTCTGACGAGAACATTGGAAAGAAGCTATTGCGTAAACTGAGTGAGTGAGCCATTTGTCACAAAACAACATTGCAACAGCACACCCACACACACCGTCAGACGTGCGCAAACTTTTCTATCTAACATAGGAACAGTGTATCTTAGCAACAGGTGTCTCTCTCTGAAACCGACTCCTTCCTGCAGAGCAGATTGTCTAGATGCAACTGACCTCGTTGGCTCTTTTACAATATGATTCATTTGATTTTATGTATTCAAGGCAGTACAGCTGACATTGTTTCAGTCAATGGCATATGGTCATTTAAAAACAATCCTCTGAAAGTTGCTTTTGTTCACAGTAAAGCAAATGGAAAGATGAGAGAAGCAAGATCTGATGCAGTTACAGATTCAGGCAGGTATTTTAACCACTAATGACTTCAGCGTGTTTGCCTCTGTTTCTAGGTAACAAGAGGAGGAAAAAGTCTCGGGATGGAGATAAGAGTTTGGAGGAAGGTTCAGAGCAACTCCCTGTGACAAGCTAGCACTGTGACACTGAGGGAGAGGGATGAAACACACACCTTCTTCCTCTTTATCACCTACTGGTTTTCTTCACTAAACAACCACCCCTTCATAGACTCCCTCCATGCTCCGACACAACTCTCAGACTGAGCCATCGTATCTGTTGTAGCCACCAGTAATACTCAGGTCCCCACTGGCACACTCTGTCCAAAACCTGCCAGACTTGACACTCTTAAAGTGCTGAGCATGAGAAGGGCAGAGCTGGAAAATGAAAAACTTGATTGGACAAATCTAAACAACATAGTTGTAGATTTATCCAGCCTTACACTGGACTGCATGGATCTCAGCAGGTTTTCATCACGTTTTGTAGTAAATGTGGCAAACCGTGTCCATGTTACCAAAAGCAGCAAAGCTTGTAATTTAATAACAGACTCTACCTGTTCTTCATCTGAACTGGAAAATATCTCAATTATGGAACCCAACAATGTCCTTAAATGATATCTGAGCCAGCTTTGACTTTTTACTTGATCAAACAATGAATATAATTGTATTTATTTATTTGTTATTTTGAGGCAGTTCCCACATACTGAAAATGTTGTTTGCACAGGGAACTGTCCTAATGTTGCCATAAGGGTGCCACCCACTGCCAACACAACCTGACACACTAGCCATCGTCTAAGAGGAAAAAGCCACCGGACAAGAGCACAGTTTTTACACCAGATTAAAAGACACAATTATGAAAAAAGCCATGAATTAGTTATCAGCTTGAATGACTACTTCTTGTATACTGACCTGTCAGCATGTTTAGAGGTGTATGCACAATTTTGAAAATACTGGTGCTCTAAATGTCCACAATTTCTTACCTGAATTTTATATGGAAGTGTAAAAATGACCAAAAGTAATTTGAAGAAAGCAATATAAGTCATCTAGCATACTGTGCAGGTCTTGAATTTATCACCACAATACCACATACATGCACATATTCAGTAAACGCATCCTTCCCACGTGAATGCATGTGTCCTACACGAAGTCTGTTTGGTATGTCTCTTCCCATTAAAACGTTCCCTTCTCTCTTCATATGTAGCTGTATGGACACATCTTAAGTGTTTCACTTATCCATCTTTTCTATTGATGTTGCCACCTTTTAAAATAATCATTAGCCTGTTTTGAGTGCATTCAGTAGACCACGTTGGAGCGATCAACGTCACACCATTAGCTACCATATTAGCTGCTTTTCTATGTACAGTTGATCTCACTAAAGCTGCATACACCAATTAAAAATAAGCTAAGGGTTTTTGGGTTTTGGATCTTTGGATCCAAATGGATATTTTGAGTATTCTTGAGGAAGAGTAGTTGCTACTTGCATGTTTGTTTATGCTGCTATTTCTGTAGAATTATCCCTCGTAGAAAGCCCTGTTGTTCCATATGCATGCTTAAGTAAAGGGATGCATGAATAGGATGATACCAACCTACAGTAACTTCTCCCCACAGACATACAGTGTGTGTGACTTACTGAAACTTAGATTTTAAAATGAACCTCACATAGAGGATAAGAAACACAAAACGACAAGGCTGCAATTTTCACATGTAGCGGTTTAATTGTTGCTATTAAAACACAAGGGGATAGGGACTTCAGAAAGGGTCAAAGGTCACTGTATCTACCAGAGAGGGCGGTGGAGGCCATAGAATGTTGCTAACTGAAAGAAAATAGCCTTAACTTAAGCCATTGTTCTAGAAATAATTTATACTGCAATAATGAAACAACAATTTGATCCTTTTTTAAAAATGTGAGTGGCAGGAGCAGCAGCTCAGGTTGAACTAAGCTGATCTGCATTGTGAAATCTTGGCAGGTACACTGCTCAACAGAACCGAGAGAAAGAGATATGAAAGAGGAAAGCAGTATGACGCACAGTGACGTCAAGCCACCACCTCCCTTCAAACACACACACACATACACAGGTGGTGACGCTCAGTGATATAATTTATTCTGCCTGGTAAGAGTTTGGAAGTACAAAGGATACTGCACTGCTAAGCTATTCACATTGACCCCTTTGTATACACAGAACATGCAACGGGAAGTCTTTTGATCTGACAACTGACTCTGAGCAAGAGGATTTGTGCGAGTCAGAAACTCTCCCAGTTGAATTCTTTGAGCAATTTTGCAGTTGGTTAACACGGATTTATGTTTATTTATAATGGTTGATACACGGTTTGTTTGATAAAAGGCCCGAGTTACATTTCATAATGTCAGATTTTGATGATTATGTAAGTTACCCCTAAAATATCAAGAGACAAGACCATATGTTCTACACAAGGGATAATTCAATTATGAATAAACTGACTTAACTATTATTCCTGTTTACTTTGTTTTGTTTTCACTATTTATATTTGTCCAATTTAAACTACTATAAAGTGTTTTTTTCCCTCTGGTCACTCACATTAAAGGATTTGTATAGTGGCTTGTATAGGCTGTATAAATACAAACCATATCATTAAACCCATATCAATTCCAACAGATATGACAACATACATAGTTATAGTTCTTTATTACAGAAGTTAATTCATCTCATTGGACAGTCTGGTGAGAACATTTTCAGCTTGAGTTGTGTGACTGCTTTATTGGTGTACTGTGCACAGTGAAACGATAGATAACTGGTTGATCATTAGTGTTTGTGCCACTGACATGAGGGTCTTGCATAATAGTGCACAAGGGCTATGAACAGACAATTGACATATTAAAAGTGAGGTAATTAGTATGACCCCTTTGGGCAGAAGACAGTATCATTAATAAATTACAGTGCAAGATATAACTATCTTCCTGAGAACACTAATAGGCTTGTTCACATTCAGCAATAAACATAATACTTCATTCATTATAGAGGTGGTAAATACTTACATGTTCTACAACTGCTTCCTCTAATTAAAGCTACATAGAGTCAGTTTGGTCAAGTTAATATTCTGGTTTTCAAGTGTTCTTAATAACTGTTAATCATAGATGCTAATTACTGCAGGCTAAATAAAATCAGAAATGTTATTCATTAAGAATTGATGAATCATAATCATGATATAGACAGTAGAGTCAGCACTGCTGAGGTAATTGACCCTTCGCTAAGCCACGCCCCGAATACACAGCTGGCCAATCACAGCGCAGTATAGGATTCCCTCTAACTGAAGTCCGACACTTTCATGGATGGGCTCCATTGACTCTTATGTAAAAAGAGTCATTTTCTAGCTTTTTTTGGCTATATTTTTCTAAGATACGGTCAAACGCTGTTCCTGGGGTACTTGTAATAGTTTTAGTCGCTACCTAGAGAGGTTGATAGGGGAAGTACGATTTATTCTATTTCCAAAACCTAAAATAAATCCAGAAAAATGTCGGCTGTGGATCTAGCTAACTTCCTGCTCAATGGAACGTAATAAAGCCCTACTGTTCTGCTTTTTAATGATTGTGATAATGAACAGAGGCCTACCCAGCTTTACAGGAACAGCGTTGATCGTTCATATCGTTGTCATTTGTCTCAATCGTCGGGGGATGCGGTGGTTCAGAAGCTAAAGCCTACTGAAAGTACAATGCAACTGCAGAACTGTCTGCTTCTTTCTGAGATCGCTTTTTCCAAATAATGTGACAATATTTCTCCGGGGAGTGCAGTAACAGCCAGTGGCAGCGCCAACAGTTTCTCGGACTTAGTTACAGTAACTAAGGAGGGCGGGGCTTAGCGAAGGGTCAATTGTACATTAGTTACAGATTTACTAACCCTTTCAAATCCTGGTCATGACATATGCACTTATAGCACATTACATGTAAAAACAAAAATGTGATGTCACGCTAAGTACAGACTATAAGTACGAGACTGACATGAAGAAAACAGAGGAACATATTCTAAACACAATTACTTAAAGGAATTATTCCCATATTAGCTATCTAATTGGGAGTTAGATGAGAAGATGAATACCTTCATCATCTTTGTGCGTTCGGATAGTTTAGCACAAAATTTGTAAGGAGGGGGAAACAGCGCCAACTGTATATTTGTGCAAATGAGTTTATGTTGGCTCCAGGAAATCTGCTGGATACAAACACTTTCCCTGGAATCAAGTGGCTCAGGTCAGAAAAGGAAGAAGTGCTGAGAACTGTGGGTAGTGTAGTCTTTTACTGGACCCTGGTGACCGCTTCATGGATGGACTCAGCCACGTAGTCTATATTCTTGGTGGTCAAACCGCACATGTTGATGCGACCACTGGCCATTAAGTAGATGTGTCTCTCCTTCACCATATATTCCACTTGTTGGGCTGCAGGAAATACAGCAGAACTACATTTATTAGTCACTGATAAATGATCCTGTAAATCTCGTTGTGTGTATCAAAGGGAATTGTACTGTGTGAACTAATGCTAAAATTCCTGAATTCTTGCACAACGAATCTAAACTTCTGAGATATGTAGAATCTAGATACGTCCTGGATTAGCTTGGTAACTTTATGGGTTTAGTTTTCACAGATGTGATCTCACTCTTAGTTGTTTTGTTTTTTAACACAACTGCATTTTTGTATAATTGCATCAACTTGCAGTGCTAAATATACAGATCTATATGGGGATGTGTGTGTGGTGGTTCTGCTGAGCTATCTAAGTTTCTGCGTATGGTCTTTGTACTCACGGTTGAGGCCTGTGAAGCTGAACATGCCGATCTGCTGTGTGATGTGGTCCCAGGTTCCTGGCGTCCCCAGAGCTTCAAGCTTAGCTTTCAGCTGAGCCCTCATTGACAAGACCCTGTTAGCCATGGTCTTCACATTGTCCTTCCTACAAGGAAAAAGAAAGGAATAACTCTACATCAGAAAATACATTGTTTTTATGACTAGTACACCTCACGCAGTGCTTTGAGTGTTCTTTTTGTAGGGCCATTTTGTGCTGACCATTCAGTAAAGAGCTCAGGTGAGGTAAGAGTGATGGCAACAATGCGAGCTCCCTGCGATGGTGGGTTGGACCAAGTGATCCTGACAATCTTCTCCATCTGGGACAGAACTCGCTTCAGGCTGTCTGCGTCACGAGCCACAACCGTCAGGTTGCCCACACGCTCATCTGATGGGACAAACACATGTCAAATATAAAACACTATCATAGCCATTCCTTTATTTTCCTGTAGGTGGTGACATTGACATATCTACGTCCGCTGTACCAGTTCAAACCGCTGTTGCAAACTTTTTTATAATATAAGTGGCAACAGTTTGCATGTGTAAAACGGCTCTGACAACATTCATAACATGTTGTCATACATAAATTAAGTGAAAATGTGAGTTTGTGAGAGAGAAGCTACGTCTAGTTTTAGAGTTTGGACTTTTAGCTATATACTATGTTGATCATGTACAATATCTTGTCATGTTTAAAAATAAAACAGGGTTGAATTAGGACTATTCCTTTTCACATAATTTCCTTTCCTCTTCATTACGTACATGTGAAACTTACCTGGCCATATATGTCTTTTGGTTTCACTGTAAAATTGTAAAATTCAACCATTTTTTTCTTTTTACAGGTTATGCTTTATTTTACTGTTAAAATGTGGCTGTATAAAGCACTTTACGACAGTCATTGTGATTAAGGTGCAATAAAATGTCACTCTTTTTCACTCTCTTGCAAGCAACTGATGTGCAACTCAATGCACCCCAGGGTCACTCACTGTAGAGGCCAAAGTTCTTGGAGAACGACTGGGCGCAGAACATTTCAAAGCCCATGGAGACAAAGTAGCGGACGGCCCAGGCATCGTTCTCCAGATTGCCTGAGGCAAATCCCTGATAAGCCGAGTCAAAGAACACAAACAGCTTCCTCCTCTGGAAAATAACAGGATAAAAGATCAAATCAATCAGTGTAGTGTTATAAACATTAGGCCATGTCCTGTTTAAACTGACACTGAAGTGTTCGTTTTTATTTATGTGCATGCATGTGTATAAGATAAGATAAGATCAACTTTATTGTGCCCTAAGTGAAATTTTTCTTGGACATCAGTGCCGCATAAGGCTGCGGTAACAACGGCAACACATATGGACTTCCCACTGATATACATCATAAGGTCTGCACCATACATTACATTGCAAAAGAGAATCAGAGACACTACACCTGTGATATGAAACCTCTGAATAATTACATTCAATTGCACTTGAGCTCATAAAGCAGTGAACAATAAAACAAACAATAAAATTACAACCGCCGCAATTCTAAATATATAAACTCATTGAAGATCTGGTTGTTGAACACCCTAGTGCAAGCGATCAATCAATATTAAACTATGCTTTAAATTAATGAAATGCCCGAAGTGCTTCAAGCCATCTTGTTCAGAGCAGATTGTTTATTTAGGAGCTCTATGGAAGTAGGGATGAAGGACAGCTTACAGCGGTTACTTTTACATCTGCTAGCTCTATCGCGTTTCCCTGAAGGTAGTACTCCATATTCAGAGCGCAGAATATGGCAAGAGGCGTTCAGAATTTTATGTGCCTGGGAGACTACCATTTTTTCAAAGATGGTCTGAAGGGAAGTGTAATCTGTCTTTCCCATAACCTTCATCGCAGCTTTTATTAGTCTTTCAATTTTTGTTTTGCACTGAATGGTAAGGGGGCCAAACCAGGATGCCATTCCATATCTGATCAGACTTTCCAGCACCGCGTTGTAAAATAAATGCACAATACTATCATCAGAAAACCATTATGATGTATAATACCATCATAATTTCAGCGATCTGCTTCCATTGCTCCTGGGTAGGGTCTGTGCCAGTTGGATTATGGGCACAGGCATGCAGGACAAAAATGGAGTGCTCTGGACAACTCTGTGGGAAACAGGGAGAAGAAGAAGAAGAAGTACTGTAATCTCTTTAAAAAAAATTACCAAAATAAAGTAGCACCAGAGTCAGTCTCACGCACAGTTTACCTCCAAGTCACTAAGGAAACCAGTCAAATCCAGGCCCCTCTTCTCTGCGTCCCAGTACTTGTATGGACGGACGTCCTCAAAGCCAGCATTGGCGAATACTGCATTGTGATTTTCTGAAACAACCAGGAAGAAAAACTCTAATACCAATGCACTCATTTATTGTTCATATTTCTGCTCAATAACAGGTTGACTACTATTTTATTAATGCTTCTTACATGCGAACTGATAACAAATCAAGATCCCTGATATGATGTGGGGTATTCATAGAGAACTCTACTAACATCCCAAGTCTAAAGTCTATTTAAGTTTCTGTAAAGGATTCAAAGATCAAAGTCCTTGAGTTAGGAGCTACTTTCCAGCAAGCATACTTATACGTGAGTGTACCCCAGGTAGGTGCCGACACATAGACGGGTGTTTTGGTGTTGTTGTTTCCATTGTAGAAACGCCTGAGAAATTCTGCACCCATCTTCAAAGCGCCAGTACCACCCAGACACTGGACAGCCCCCACCTGGCAGTGTCAGACACATAAAAACAGTTAGTTTATATGTAAACAGATTAAAAACTGAAACATAGTACGGTCTTTTAAGACACAAACCCTGTCCTCCTTGATGGCAGGACTGTTGTCTCCCAGTGCGATTTTGGAGGCCGAGGATCTGAACTCAGGCAGGCCCAGGATGGGCAGATATTCGTGGTTTAGCCTGTCATCATGCACAATGATCTTTTCCACCTTTTTCACCACAGGCAAAACCCACGGCTGGCCGTCATCTGTCCGATAGGCTGCAAGGAACAATTCAAGCAAACCAATGTTATACAAAAAAAGTGGAGGAAAGAATGAGGCCTTGATGCACTGCCTGATAATTTTAGGCCAGTATGAGTCAAGTATGAGTTTTACGAAAGCTTGCTAAGAAGCCCACTCTTCTAATAATAATCATCTGAAATGATTTTACCAAACATACTCTGATTCAAGATGGCAATCTTGATATTTGGGATTTTACAAGATACTGTAATCGAGTCCCACCAGTTCACCTCTTGATTCACAATGATATGTGAATGTTTCAAGGAGTATGGCCAACAGGACTCTTGTTTTTCCATTTAAGAGGCTTTGTGATTTTGGACTTGACCCTTGGAAAATCACTTCAGAAAATTTCAACAGACATGCACTTTCGTCATGAAAGGCAAAGGTATCTGTAAAAATTAATAATCAATCTTAAGCTGATATGACAAAGGCTGCAAAGATTACTTCCATTATTGATTATTCTGCTGATTGTTTTCTAGGAAGGGCCAACTATAACAATATGCAAGAAAAATCATATTAAGATTATTTTGACAGATATTGTGATTGGAATTTAGTCTTAGTCTTATGCCTGCAGAATATGATTTGTAGGCCAGGGCATCACTGTAGCACCACAATGCTTCATTTATAGTAGTATGTTGTCACACACTTTATCTTTAACAAAGAGTTGCTGTGGATTTGGTGATTCGGATAATATTGTGATTAATTGTTCATCCCTATTTCTAGTTTAATTAATTTGGTCTATAAAATGTAAAATAGTGAGAAATACACATCACAAGTTCCTAAAGCTGACATATTCAAACCCCCAAAGATATTCAGTTTATTAGGCTAATCTAATAAGTCTTTAACATTGAGAAGCTGGCACTTGCTCATTTTTGTAATTTTTGCTTGAAAATTTGATTAAGCGGTTAGTGGATTATCAAAATAGTTGTGGACTATTGCAGACTTCTCAATTAATGGACTACTTGTTAAAGCTCTAGATATGACTTTAAATATACTGGAAATTGTGTAGCCTAGGGATGAACAATTAATGGAAATTTTATCAAAATCGCAGTATGGTCTACGAAAATTTTAAAATCACAGGAGGTGCAATATTTATTAGAGGCTAAAAGTGTGTAAACATACCATTTAAAATGTTTAAAAAATATCAGACTTCAGAAAACAACTATATTTGGTACAGATCCCTGCAAAAATCACACAATAATAATTTAATGTTTTTGAATGAAAATGAGAATAATGATGTGAAAACATTCCCTTCACTATCGCAAATCAGATCTTAATTGCAATAGCAGTCAAAATATATATTTTTTAATTGTTCAGCCCTAGTTTAGCCTAGATTTACCAGCCGTACAGTGGCTGATGACCATCTGCACCACTGTGTGTGTGTTGCAGAGAGAAGGGGATTATACTGCCTGCTCTAATCGTGGGCCTCCTCCTGCCATGCAATGCCATTTCCACACTGCCACAACAGAGCTAAGCAATGTTTCTCACAGTGTCTCTCTGCAATGTAAGCAGCAAGGATTACTACTTTTAATAAGATTACCACTGAAAACTGTTGTACTGAGGACTGAAATGTGCCATTTGCTTGCTTTGGGGGGACAGAAGCAGGACTCAGCTATACATACTTTAACTCCTGCAAGTAGCTTGTTCTTGTAACATGAGGGAACAGTAATACAACCTACTCCCTCCACAAAGTGAGAGATTATTGTGCAGAGATGCAGCAAGAGGGAGAAAGGGATGAAACCAGCCAGGACAGTGACAGAGATTATTCCAGTCATTGTGTCACACTATTACATTCTATTATATTAAAGAGACATTATCAACAAAGCTGCATGGTGGTGTTGAATGACCGAACAGTGATATTGACAGACAGACTAATCGATCACGCAGGGTCTGATGAAATAAGAGGGATTCAATTCTTAAGATTGTTATCGTCACAGACTGTTAGTCACTGACGTTATGTACATTACTGTAATGTTATACCAAACAAGACATTTTAGAGACATATATCCACAAAAACTAGACAACGCTACGTTACAGGTGTTACACCGAAATCTGAGGCCAGAGGAAAATGTGTTGCCACCATAAACTACATAAAACATGGTTCCCATCATCGTACAAAACTTGTAACGTTAACGTTACAGGGACACAGGTCACACAATCTTACGGGTTCATGAATTCCTTTTAACACCGGCTGCGGTTAATAACAACCTAGCTAGCTTCGTCAACTAGAAGCTAACTGTCGGTTAACTGTTGTTAACGGCTTGGGTACCGTTGCCCTTGCTAACATAATGCCTGGTACCGTGACTTCAGACTTATTGTGGACAACTTACCTCCCACTCCGAGGTTCACCTTTTGGGGAAATTGGTCGTTATTGAAATCCTGAGATAGCTTGAAGACAGCTACAGGGGGCTGCTTGGGGGACCTCACAAAACACCGACATAGTTGCTTTTTATTGTACTGGAGACTATGGCGACAATAAGGGACGAGCGATTACCGGGACACCTAATGCGATGATGCAGGACTTTCACCTTCCACTTGGATTTGGGGGAATGTAAAGTGGGAGTGAGCGCATTTACCAATAGAAATCTAGACGTGCTTGCCAAGCCAATCCCTGCACTGATCCCGGTCAGGTCAAAGTTCAAGAAAACACACGCACAATGGCTGTTGGCCATTGAATACCTCTGTATGACTTAAGAAACGTCACAACCAACCAAATGTCTGGCGGTGAAAGTGGGTGGTTTACATTGCAATAAAGGATTTTGTCACAAGGTGGCGCTACAACCTTGTTAAAGATTGTATCAGGCGCTTCCCAGTAAGCACTCACCAGAACTACTCATGGCATGAGTTTGTTCTGCACAGGATTATATTTAACATTGATGGATAAAATAACACATATAAGTATCAAATAACTCACAGACAAGATATTTGTCTGGCATGGCTTAATTCTTAACACTGCGTGCTCTGTTTCAGAAGGCGAATCCGTACATCCCATTATAAATGTTCATTTGAACCCTACCTGAGCAGACAACTATTTATGCTTGGTCTTGACACTGTTTGAGTGAGTGCATGTTGGACTGTGTAAATGAGTATGTACAAGGATTTCCATCTGTTCTGTCCTAGGCCTAGGCTGGGCTTTGGTGTAAACATGCTGGCTCCTCTGCGCTCTCCCCGCAGCTGTCTGCAGGAGCTGAAGTGGTTGATAAACGAGGGCCACTCCAGCCAGCTCTCCCCTACCAGTAGCATGACTATGTTGAAAAGCTTTTCGGCCACACTGGAGTCCGGGCAAAGCGCATTTGATTCCTCAAAACTTTGTGTTTCTGTCTGGTAGAGAAGGTTGCAAGGCTTGACCTAGTTTGTGTGATTGAAGTCAGTGATGGTGGGATACCTTAACACAATACCTCCTTCTAATAAGGGATATTTTATAAAGGGTTTATAACTTCTAACTAATGGCTTTACTCAATACGGTACTTTTCAGGCATATGTACTTTTATACTACTTTATACTTTTACTTGACTGCATTTTGGGGGATAATGTTGTACCATTTACTCCACTACATTTATTTATTTATTTATTAACTTTACGGTAGTCACTAGTTACTTTACAGATTAAGATTACGAGCATTTGATCATATTATAAAATATGCATTGATGCCTTATTATAGATTTAAATAGTGAACAGAATATAAAGTAGTAAAATTAGCTCCACTTTCACCATCTTATTGACTTATTGACAGGTACATTTTCACATAGGAGGTGCTTAACAGTACACATTAACATAAATATAGAAATATGGATATAGAAAAGGTAAAGAAATCAAAAATGTACAAGTACACAAAATAATACTATAATATTTATACAAATATACAGGATAATTAACAAGGATGTGCAAAAAATCACAATATGAGCAAAAAAGGATTAGTGCAATGTAGATAATACAGTAACACTCTGGAAAAGCCATTCTGCATAGCACTAACTGTTATTTTTGATATTTCGCAGATAATGCTAATAAGTCAGTGCTTGCTCTTAATTACACTGTGAACAAATAGGCTGTTGAATAGCCCAACTGAGGTTGTGTAGTTAAATTTAGGCATTCTTTAAAAGGGCTTCTAACTGGTATTTAATGTCTATTTAAAGTCCTGCTGTTTTGCTTATTGTATCATTTCAATGTTTAACCTTCACTGTGCATAATGATATGTGTGTAGAATTTGACACTAAAAGGCTATTTCTTTTTATCATTTTAACATGCACTCATACGAGCAGGATTTTGTGACTCCACAGCTAGTTTGGAAGTCAAGTAAGTACCAACCTTATGCACAAGTGTCATGTGGAAAATTGAAACCTCCAGCACACATTAACTGAGAAAGGACTTTTCAGTTACATCGTGTCCAACTTCACCCACACTGTTTGCATATTCATAGAGTCTCTAGATTAATCTGTGAGGGAGAAGGAGTAGATGCCATTTATAATTAGGTAATAAAGTAAGGTAAATAACTTTGTGGAAAAACAATGTCAGATCCAGTTTTTCTCAAGCAAAGTATTTATATGTGTTTTAAAACATGTCTTTAGTAATTAATAGTCAAGATCAGTTTCAAGTCTGTTCTGCTCTTAACATTTCTGTCAGCTCAAGACCAGTGGACCAACCAAGCTTGTGTAGTTAAAGCTGCACTAGATCAATATTTCTATACTAACAAGGGGTCAAATTGCCAAATTGCTGGATGTGTAAATAGGCAGCTGTTCATACTGTCACAATATAACAATGTTGCCCATATCGCCAAAAACAAAAGAATACTGCTTTAAACTCAGTTAGGCCTTACATTCACCTGATATAGAATACTTTACAAAAGTGACACCATTACTCCAAATACCAGTTATCACAGAACAGTGAGTTACTATTTTCACCTCCTGTTTTGTCCCAGATGTTACTTACTTTCCCCATACCTGGTACCACCCCCACGCATCTCCCCGCTTCACTTTGACAGTAGATGTTTTCATTCTTTCCGACCAGGTGAGGGTGTCTCCTATGTTAGCTATCACTGTCAGCCATGCAATTATGGGATTTGAGATCCCAGAACAAGGCTCGGGGGCCCAGGGCAGGGTTTGGTGTGTACGTACCGGGGAGGCCCCGGGTCCACGGTCTGAGCTGTGATGTGAAGTGTGTGTCAGAGCAAGGAGTGACAGGAGTAGCCTCTGGCAAGACAGTGCCCACAGGGGGAGTGTGTCACATCCAGATCAATGAGTTAGTCAGCCAAACACCTTCTCTGCGTTTCCTTGACATTGACGTGTGAAACATTTATTTTGGCATCTGGCAATGTAATGCAAATATGACCCCCCCCCCCCCCCCCCCCAAAAAAAAGAGTAGCGCCAACAAAGTTTCTTTTATCACAGTGTTTTCATTTTGCATGCAAGTTGTCATTTGTGCAGACACTAAAACACACACAAAGGCACACATTCAGGCACAAGACAGTCACATTCCAGCTGTGGTATCACTGAAACACAAACAGGAGCGTGTGCACACACACTGCAGCACATTCCAAGGGGGATGTTGCAGCGTTGCTCACATGTTGCGATGGCCCCTGTGTCTCTGGGTCAGAGCGCCGTGGTGAGTGACCACCTTTTTAGCTTCCTGCCTTGTTTGTTTTCCAAAGACAGTGTCATCAATTCTCTAACAAGGGGCTAGACACAGCAACAACAAAGAGCACAGGACCTCCCTGTTGCGCTCCGTGTAGTCGAATGACTGACGGAGCATGCATGCAATAACAGACATCAGCGCTCTGTGTGCCTGACTACATTCCGACTAGTGTATTTGTGTCTGTGCAAGTTTGTGTGTGTACATGCCTTTGTGCGCTCCATTTGATATCATGACATGAAATCCGTTGGGTTTTTTCTTGTGCATGCAAACATTTACCCATTGCTCTCTATGTACATCTGATGAAAGACACACTGGATGTATACCTGTAGTATTAGTATGTGTATGTGTGACTGACAGCACATTCTTGGATTACTGTATTCAAATTAGATGCAAATTAAATTTTTCCAGATCATACAATAACTACTTCTCAGATTTACCATCAGTAATACATCTGAGTTGGTGGAAGAGAAATCCTAATGGTGTCATAACATGTACCACTCACACAAGATAAAGGGATTGTTCAACATTGTGGGAGACACTTCTTTCACTTTCTTGCCTTGAGTTGGATGAGAAGATCAGTATCACTCTCTTATCTGTGAAATAAATATAGAGATACGCAGCCAGCAGCATAGCTTAGCGCAAAGACTGAAAACAGGGGGAAACAACTAGCGTGGCGCCTTCCAAATGTAACTAAATCCACCTACCTGCAGCTCTAAAGCTCATTAATTGGCACTTTATATTTTTGTTTGTTCCACCTGTACAAAAACCAAAGTGTTGTAGTTATGGTTTTATGGAGATTCACAGAGATTTGGTTACCCTGGGACAGAGCCAGGCTGTTTCCTCTGTCTTCAGCCTGTGTGCTAAGCTAGGCAAACCTGCTACTCGCTGTACCGGTAGCCTTATGTTTATCAGAGAGTATCAATCTTCTGATCTAACTCTTGACAAGAAAGTAAATCAGCGTATTTCCCAAAATGTCTAACAATTCTAATACTAATAAACATATTTGGTATAAAACTTTTCTTAAACAAAGTTACAAAGTGCTTTAAAGTAAAACTACGAAGTTTGATAAATAAGTACTGTTCACAATTTTATGTAATTCAAATGTAAGATTTGACTTTGAGTGTTATAATGTCTTTAAAGGTCTGTTCATATTCTTATCACTCACTGCTTTTCACTGATGTGGCCTTTACTCCACAAGGCTGGGCAGAACCTCAAACCCAAGGTCTACAGTGTGTTATTCTAATTGATTGATGTTGTCTTTTGGCCAACTCAGGCTCTCCAGACTGCAGCTTTATACAAATATGCATGCAAAGAAACAAAGACAGGAAGTGGAAGACTTACGTCTGAATTTTTACCCTGACTGCTTTTTTTTTTTGTCTGCATAAAGCAAACTGCCACAAACAAAAAAATGATAGGTGACAAGAAACTTGACCATGTCTCTCACAATCACTAATGATGTGTGATTTTATTCATTCCCAGGCAGAGATCATCTGATTTCATCCTCCCATTCACAAAGAGGTCAGAGGTCAGGGTCAGCTACAGAACAGGGACTCAATATCTAAATGAGGCCGGATACCTGCTAACACCGGGTCTTGGATCAAAGTCGTCCAGTTGAAGGACAGTCTCCCTGTTCTTTACGCTGACATTCAATCTGAGCTACAGCATTACCAACAGCAATCATTATTAACAGCAAGAAATTATGCTGAAACTGCATTACTTGGTATTTTGTACAGTAATTATTTACAAAACTTAGACTTTACTCATAAGGAGTCAGCATTTTGCCAAAACAAAATGTCACTTTGATAAAGATACCACCATGGTTGCTGG